GAACCCACACACGCTCCTTCCCGATCCCTCCCCACTGTATGTCTCTGAAACCCAAAAACGTCTGGAACCCACACACCTCCTTCCCGATCCTTCCTCACTGGACGTCTCAAAATCCCAAAACGTTTCGAACCCACCCACCTCCTTCCCGATCCCTCCCCACTGTATGTCTCTGAAACCCAAAAACGTTTCGAACCCACACACCTCCTTCCCGATCCCTCTCCACAGGATGTTTCAGAATCCCAAAAACGTCTGGAACCCACACACCTCCTTCCCGATACCTCTCCACAGGATGTCTCAGAACCCCAAAAACGTTTGGAACCCACACACCTCCTTCCCGACCTTCTCCACTGGATGTCTCAGAATCCCAAAAACGTTTGGAACCGACACACCTCCTTCCCGACCCTCTCCACAGGATGTCTCAGAATCCCAAAAACGTGTCGAACCCACACTACTCCTTCCCGACCCTCTCTACAAGATGTCTCAGAATTCCACCCGTAAAACTTTCGGAACCCACACACCCCATTCTCAGTCTCTCTCCATATGATGTCTCAGAATTCCACCGGTAAAACGTTTGGAACCCACACAACTCTTTCCCGACCCTCTCTTTGGGTGTCTCAGAATTCTACCCTTAAATCTTTCGGAACCCCAAACACTTCATTCCCGATCCCTCTCCACAGGATGTGTCAGAATATCATCCATAAACTTTTTGTAACCCACGCACCTCATTTCCGAAGAAGGTGATCAACTTCAAAACTATTGCATCCCCTTAACATTTATTTTAAGACATCTGTGTATTATGAAGTGAAAGATACGTTTGAAAAACACGTTTAATCCTACTGATGTGAAGAATTAGTGAAATCCACAGGCTTACATCCCAAAGAACTGCTTGTTCTGAATATCTGTGATGACATATTAAGCGGTTCGAAAGAGAGTGAGCCAATCTTCATTTGTAAAGATATAATAAGCCTTCTTCAAGAGAAAGAAGAGTAGTTCGAGCAGTATCAACTAGTCGCAGCTCCAAATATTACTCGGGAATATGTGAGACCAGTTCATCTACTGGTGTCAGTTTGTTTTTATCTATAACAAAAAAATAGGTCACACTGAAGATATGCAAAAATAATTCGAGCATTCCAGAAAATCAAGACCTATAACACCTTTTTCGTGTTGCACAACACGTTCTTGTTGCAGATTTAATAGAATAGATGTTTTTAAATATATTTAATAATATCAAGTGTTTTATGTGTACTACTATTAATTTAAACACTTTATAATCTGAAAGTACTTCAGTGTGCGGCAAGCGATGTATTCCTCACTCAACTTTGTCACCGAAGACGTATCTGCTGTGACCTGGCAGCTGGGGTGAAGGAAGTAACATTTAAACCTGATTTTCTCGAAGAAAACTGGATCTGCCGTTGTTCATGAAAATCAACACATAATGTGGGGTATTTTTTGTAACTGGAGCTTCGAGACATTCTGTATTATTAACTCAAGAAATTGTGGGGGGGTGGAAATTATGGTGGTCAAGAAAACTTCCGCCTATATTAGATGTCCTGCAGCTCAACAGAGAAATACATGCAAACATTCAGAAATGATGTGAATTGGTGTTTATGAAATTTGATTACTATTAAAATGCCACATAAGCATAATCTACCATTCGATGTTTAATGTTTTCGTTAATGTTGATTATTAACTTTCCCTTTTCATGTGTAATAACCTCCTTCTGTTCCCTCTTCATCAATACTTTTTCTCCATCGTTCTTCCCTCCTTCATTCAACTCTGACCCTCACACTCTTCTTTTGTATCAATCTTCATTTGTGTTTCCACTTCTTAACATACTTACTTCACAGTTATTCCTATAAAATGTGATAAAAATTACTCCAAAGGATTGTAAATCAAATGAAAACCTTTTCTGAAGTAGTAATTGTTCTGTTGTAATTTTTATTTTTTTTATTTTTATAAACTAGGCTTTGAGCTGTAATTTTAAAGTTGTTGCTTTGAGTTGTAAGCTTTCAAAACTTTACTAAAATTCAAAATATGTGTTAAATCTATATCTTTCACTCTTCTCTAGATTTGTCTTGGTTTGGCTAAACATTATTTTCATCCTCTTCTAATGGCTTGAATTGTTAATTTCGTAATTTTTGTCTCACGCTTTCTGTTATTCATTGTCAAATACATAGCTTAACAATTAAAAGTCTTTTGTATTTGCATGCACCATAATAATGGAACAGTATATCATTGTCTCACATGTTTCATATTTCGCAGGTAAATAAGGCGAGTCGAAAGAAGAGGGAGAAATCTTCGGCGAAGAAGGAGAGGAAAGCCACCAAGACGCTCGCAATCGTTTTAGGTAACGGAAACAATCATGATACTAAGGATAGCATCAATAAAATGAAATACCCGGCTCCACCCGACTGAGTTATTATTTTATTCATTAGCACTGAATAAACGGAAGGGAAAAGGTTGAACTGAAATATTTTCAAATGGAACACATTCATGGAATGTCCCACTGTTTCATGCCATAATAGTTTTTTATGAAATATTATCGTAAAAAGTTCGACGAAATGAATAAGTACGTTAACGCACTTTGTAAGAATTCCAATAATATCTTAACATTCGTTTAAATACAGTATGAGTAGTTTCGTGCGAAGAAAACACATCACCGGGGTCTCCTCGACGTCTCCTGTTCGACAAACCAATGCCACTTCTGTTTAGCGGAAAAGCGCTTCCTTTCTGCTGAACAGTTTCTTGACGATTTCATTTCTTCTACAAGTATAACGCCCATACGTTTGTGTTTAAAACAAGTCGAAGCTCAGAGTATAGTTCTACGTCTTGGCGTTTTAGGGTAGTATTAATCCGACTGTTGCCAGCTAGTGGTGTTCCCAGGCGTGGGTAATGTTTCTTTTTATAATCCACACCTGGAATTAAAGGAGACATGTGGAGAGCATGACACATTCCTACCAGCTTTTTTGGTCTGCCTGAGATTTTTTTCCTCACGCATCTCAAGTAACTGAGACGATTTGTATGAGAAAGCTGCACCTTCATTTTTGCCCCGGTCGGGGCCGCCTCGCAGGAAGCTAGCGACATGTCCACAAGGCACACCCGAAGAGGGGCTACTTCTAAATATTGTCGGATACAAACGAAGGGCGAAAATGTGCGAGTTAACAGAACTGGGGTTCACGCAACGCTCGACATCCCGCCGTCCGAATGTCGGCCAGCAGAATTGCACTGCACTCGCTGTTCGCATATGACGGTAAGGACCTCACGAGTATATAACACCGCTTAGACACGTGAAAATTCTCATAAAGATTCCGTGACATTCAGGCTGTGATATTGGAAAATTACATAACCACGTTTAATGGAAATTAAGCGTCTGGGGCCAAAGCGGTTGAGAAATTATTTATTAGTAATATTCTAACGTGTTTTTACAACATTAAATGACTTAGTCTGAATTAAATTCATTTGAATTTCAGAGAAAGGTGAGAGACTGTTGCGTTAGTGGTTAATAGAAGGCCATGAACTGTTATAACAATTGTAATCTCATAAATTTTGTCGCGAAACCTATGTTAGTATCATGATGTCTCTAAAAAGGAGACTAAACTCCAGTGGTGAGGGTACGAATAAAAAGCGACGGCCCCTAATCGGACTCAATTAGCATCATCGACATCACGCGACATTTTCGGTCAATGGCCAGCAAACGTATGTAAGAGTTCCTAGATACAAAGAGTAGCGCATTCCATTGTTCCACCGAACTCATTTTAAATCCAGTTTTCAGCAGAATTGGAACTATGTGGTATTCTGTGCGTTGAGAACCATAATTCTATATCAAATCTAAATGAATGTTCTTAAAAACGTCTATAACGTCACCAATTGTTATAACGTTCCTTCAGCTCCTGAATTCTGCCTGACGGGACTATCCAGAGAGAGGATAATAAATGGCGGCAGTGGCGCCTCTCTCTGTATCTAGGGACTCTAGCTCATGTGGCAAGTCAACATCATCTTACACTCGTTAAAGTGTAGATGGGGTGGGTCAAATACGTTTACACGTGTGATTCACCTTGTGATGTCGCAGAAGTTAAGTGTATCTGATTAGCTGGCGACGTTTTTCCTACAAATCCCATCACATCTACAACATCGTAGAAGTCTCCTTCTTACAGACATCGTGTTTAGTAGATATAGGAGACCGGGTATTATTGAAACACGAGAGTTCTTATAATAATTACGTGCGAAACCCAGTTGCCTGCACTTCACCTCTCTCTTTCACCTTCCCTCTCCCTTTCTCTCACCGACTCTCTTTGCTTCCACACTCTCCCTCTCTTTCCCTCTCTATTACGTTTTCCTCTCTCTCTCTCTCTCTCTCTCTCTCTCTCTCTCTGGCTCCGTCTCCATCTCCCTCTGTTTCCCTCTCCCTCCGTCTCCCTCTCCCTCTGTCTCCCTCTCCATCCGTCCCCTCTCCCACTGTCTCTCTGTGCCCCCCTCCCACCGTCTCTCCCTCCCACCGTCTCCCTCTCTCTCTCTCTCCGTCTTTCTGCTCCACACGGCAACGTTCAGCAAAAATGAAGGCTAGGTAGTGTGCATTTGAATGAAAATTTAATTTAAATGAAGCGCAATTTTATTCTACATCGGTGAGTGGAGTTACAAGAAAATAATCAGTACATAAACTTTGTGGGTGAAAAAACACGTAGGTTTGCTAACTTTCATGGAGATCGGTCACAGGGTGTCAGAGTTTACTGCACTTCATGTGTGTGTGTGTGTGTGTGTGTGTGTGTGTGTTTTAAACGGATGTTACTAGAGAGGAGTCCATGTACCATGTACATTTAGAACACTTCTGTTCTAATATTGTTTTTATGATCCTGATCTCAATTTCAGAAAATTTTGCTTGAGGCCACCTAAGTGTATAGTGTTATTAATTGGTCCTTCAATGAAAAATACATCATATTCATTAGTCTGTACTGTTTTTGAAGCAAATAACTGAAATTAAACCCATATGTTCCCCCGTGCAGGCGTGTTCCTGGTGTGCTGGGTGCCCTTCTTCACGTGCAACATCATGGACGCCATGTGCACCAAGCTGTCGCTCGACTGCTCGCCCGGCGTCACGGCCTTCATCCTCACCACGTGGCTGGGCTACATGAACAGCTTTGTGAACCCCGTCATCTACACCATCTACAACCCGGAGTTCCGCAAGGCTTTCAAGAAGCTCATGGCGCTGGGCACGTAACAACACGCGCTGGGCGGGTCCCTGCGAGGTGCGTGTGCGCAGGTGGTGCGACGAAAAACTTTTAGCCCGGCCCCTTTTATAAAAGTGCATTACAACACAAGTGGTGTCAGTACCTGAAATAATAAAAAAAATATCCTCTTACAAATTCATAGTCATCAGTCTACGATTACTATTTATCCACGCACTTTTTTTGAGCCCTCATTTCGCTAGATGCGAAAGAAGTGGGAGGTTTGATTGTTTTTGCGACAAGACTATTATATGAAATCTGTAGCTCTTTTTTCGAGACAAATTAGTTTCTACCGCACGGGAGCGAATATTTCTAACACAAGATTTTGCCAACAACGCTTCTTCCTATTATTCATTCTGAATTCAACTAATGTCAGCAAAGGAGTGGGGGATAAGTATTCCGGGGCTCAAGAAAATGTGCGTGTATAATACATAAGAAATCAAGGTTAGAAACAGATTATATTGATTTAGAAACAGTGTAACATAAGCTACCGAAGCGGAAAACAATCTGATAGGTTTCTGAAAATGTTTAGATATCTGGTAGGTTCTTCTGGTAGAAAGTCTAGAAACCTGGTAGAATCCTAGCAGGTGCTGTTCATGTGGGATTGATATTACATTTAATTGCGTTATCCTTTTTCTGGATACAAAGAACGTGCAAATCCTTTCGGCTGGTGCACTTCATTGCGGTTGTTTTAGTTTTAATTGTGAAAGGTATAACTCTTTCTTCGGTACAAAGTACGTGGTCAACCCCAAAAACTCTTGCAATGAATTCGGGTTGATTTTCATTTAATTGCTTTGTCCATGCAAAGTTGCTTGCACACAAAGTTCATGCTCAGCCTACTAGCGCGTGCAATTCAAATGGAATTGATTTTTGTTTCAATTGTGTTGGGCTTAGTACTTTCTTAGAAATAAAGATCGTGCTCATTCTTCAAAATTGTGCAATTCACATGGGATTAATATTTGGATTAGTTGCTTTAGACCATGCACTTTCTTCGGTTCAAAGTACAATGCCAATCCCCCAAACACGTGCAATTCTCGTAGAGTTGACAATTGGCTTAATCTGGTTAGATATACTGCTTTTTTGAACACCAAGTACTCAACTCCCAAACTCGTGTAATTTATGTGGATTTGATATTGTACTTAATTGGTTAGTGTCTCGCGAATATTGAGTGGCTACGTTTTACACCTGACTAGCGTCTTTAAGAATTACATCTACAAGTATGATACATGACTATTATTATTATTATTATTATTATTATTATTATTATTATTATTATTATTATTATTATTATAAGTATTGACAAGTATTATACGTGCCTTCAAGCATTACACCTACAAGTACTACATCTGACTAATGTCTTCAAATATTTCACCAACAAGAATTACACCTGACTAGCGCTTAATGACAGAACGCAAGTCAAACATTTCGTCGCGAACTGAAGTGAATATAACATTAAAATCTAGTCATATGCTGGGACTAATGGAGGCTCAGCTTCTTCCTCCCAAACCCTTCTTTCTTCTCAAAAATATTTTTGTAATTTAACGTATTTCACTATTCAAAAATTTTATCTTCACACATCATATTTCAAAGGAGTATTTCCATTATGATTTTTTTCATCTCAAGTTATTACATTATCGTTTCTCGCATTATTTCAGAAATATTTGATGATGAGTGGAACTAAAATTGATCCCTCCTCAATTTCATTCCAGATTCGTTCCTGTTACGTAATATATAATTTCGCCTTATTTTCAGTATGCTGTTGTTTTCAATGTTCAGCTTCAATGCAATGTGTTTCGTTCCGTGGTATTAGGTAACGCTATAACCATTCAGAACTGGTTGTATTTGGTGTCTGTATATTTGTCTCATTATCATTAACGTTTGTGTTTGCAGTGAAAAGTTTCCGTAACAGACTTATTAGAGCTCAATATTTTTCTATATATTTGTACCTCTCCTGCCCAAATTGTTGAATGCTATTACACATTTTTCAAATATGGAAACTTCGAATATGTTTAAAAATATTTTTAAAACAAATTAATATATCTTAAATTATATAATGCGCATAATATGTTTAGTGACCTGCAGCCGCAAAAGTGCTGCTGAACAAAACCACACAAAAATGGTTTCCCAAAAAGTAAACAAATAAAATAAAATACTCTCTGTTGAGAGTATTTTATTTTATTTGTTTACTTACTGCAATAAATTAATATTTTACCAAAAATTCTTCAAAAATGGTGGAATATAGGATAGTAAATAAATAGTGCAACAGTTCTTTAAATATCTAAAATATAAAATACCTTGCTCTTACAAAAATGTTAAGATGAAAAGCAAATATCGGGAGGCTTCTCCCTTTGACCCTTGCTGTCGCATGACGCCAACTAGGTTGTAAGCAATTACGTTCTCATGGTGAGAATTCAGTAGGAACACGTTCAGTAGGAACACAAGGCGGAATAATACAGTAAGGGATTTGCATTTTTGAGTCTAAATCATAACTGTTTCATTGTTCGCTAAGAGAAATTTTATATAATGTACTAAACATGTTTAGTAACCGATCATGTAGTAAAGATTCGTGTGGTAATATTTGCTACACATGATTTAGTTTCGATTAGTAAATCAGACACTAGAAAAACCGTAAGTGAATGAACAAAAAAAAATTGTCAGTGATACTATACTTGTTTCGTAGATAAAATCATTCGGTTACATCTACGTTTCATCTCGTCACACTTACTAAACCCTGCTAGTAAGCACGCGTTTTCAGCAATCTGGCCAACTCAAATGAGTTCCACTTGATGCCATTCGTCACGGGGTTCGACTTGTTCAGCGAACATTAGTATGTGTTCATTAGTGTGTTTAACTAAACAGCAGTTTCGTGAACATTACTAAGCACTTTGATCCTCCAAAATATATTATACTGTATAGTTCAATATACTACGTGATTAATTTTAAGAACTAAGCATTTTTCTCCGCGTTTTCTATATTTTTCTCGAGTTTCTGGATATCTAACTATATCATAAACAACTCTCACTCAACATATTTCCAATATTGTTCTACTATCTTAGAATGGCGCAAATAGCGGGTATTAATTTTTCTTTTTTTATTTGTTTTGCAAGTTCATATAAAAATAAATTTTAAACGTGATACTGTTGCGTGGCTTCTTCATTCTCGAGCCTCGAATGTTGCATAGAAAAGAATCGATGGAAACTCATTTTTAAAAATTATCAATCCAAAATCAAATTTTATTAAATTATTTGAAAATCACCGTTCTCTGATAAATCAAGGCGCGACGATTCACTTTAGGCCGAAAAGGTAGCGTAGTAATTTTCATCATTCACCTCTGTAGGTGTCTTGAAACTCCTCAAAACACGTTTTTTTAGAATTCTTTCTGAACCAGCCAAACAATGGCCAATCGATTGGTCTTGTCGAGAGAAACCGAATGAGCATTTGATCTCTGATGAGACCTTAAATACGCCGGAAAATGTTTTCCGAGAATTCTTTTTGAAAGTTCAAGACGGGTCCGAAAAAGTGTTCCTTTTCTCCAGTAGACTGGAACGGGTATTTAACACACTTATATCACAAGCCATATTTTTCTATTTTTTACCTTTTTACTTGCTCAAACTAATCGAAGTTGAGTTTTTTTGTTATAATACAAAGAATGTTTAAATGTTATCGATAATAAAGTAATAATTTAAAACAACTAGAGATTAGGAACAAGAAGAATGTTTTTAAACACAAGGGATACGAAGAATAATGGAGGACTCGGCAAATTCCTTTGTATTCGAAAAATTGGACAAAAATCAATAGTCCCCAAAGAGCCAGTATATTCATTGAGTTAATACCATCTCTTATATTATTTTCGTAGTATAATACCTTTTTCGACTCTCACACGCAACCGATCTTTATAAATGAGGTCCCTAAAGAAAAAATTTCACGGAGACGTGAGAAGTTGTACTTTTGACTACAAAAATATGAAGAATGTGTTTTAAAAAACGCATCTAAATATTCATGTCAAAAGAACCCGCAGCACTCAGTCAGATATATCGTTAAATAACTCTTAAAAGAAGCGTTCTAGGACCTTAAAAACTAACATTTTGATACCAAAGGGCCCAATGAAACGTGCATAACACCGTGATCTCCAGGATGAGATATTCTTGGATCCTATTAATTTTTTACTGGTTTGGCACTTATCGATATTACCAATGCCACCTAGATTTCAACCCTTGGTGGTGGTGGCCATATTTGAGACGCCACGCTTAGGATTTCTTTATTTTACACTATATATGCTTTCTGTGTACATTCTGTTTTCCGGAGGCTGGCGAGGTTTATTTGCATAATTATTAATTCAACATTCACTCTCGCTCCACCAACAACTAGAAGTACTATTTCTAGTTACTTGATATCGATGAAGATTGTTTCTTATGCGTCTAGTGAAAACATTCATTTAACATTTTGCGGAGGTCTACAAGTGACGTGTACCTAATTGTGGAGAGATGTGGGTGTTCAGTGAAGACGTGTCTTATTAGGTTTAGTTTTTGTTTTACCTTTACCAGTATTTTCGTTCTCAGCAGTGATTCGGATAAACTTACAAGTTAGCGTGTTCAGTCACGTAGCTTTCTCAAGATTAAAAACCTTTCTTTAATTTTTTTACTATCACGAAACACGAAAAGCTAACAGTCAAAGAGTATAGAATAGTTATTCAAATATTTTTTCGAGGGAGTGTTGTGAAATGTTCCAAGAAATCTCTCGATAATATCGAATAAATCTTTAGTAAAAATTTATTTTCCACATCAATTGGATTGTTATTGTTTTAGTACAATGGAAGCTACATTTTTAAACCGATAAATACGTTTCGTTAACAACTTTCGTTCTTAGAATGGAAATAGAAAAATGTGTGAGGTTTAACATGCGAGAGTTCTCGCACGGGTACGCTAATTAGTAACTTATTATTACTAGTTGGTATTTTGCATATTTGAAAATTGAAATTAGTCAGCCGTGATTGAAAAGATAAAAGTTAGAAAACGTAATTTGATCAGAAATTAAAGAGGGGATGTGATAATACTATAGTTAATAAATAACACTGAAACAATATAGTTACGATGAGTGTATGTTTCTTATTATTATTTAATTCTGTGGAATACAAAAATATGTAATGTAGGTCTCCCAAACATAGCTCCAAAAGAATATTTATCACTGTACGTAGTACACTCACTTTTCATTATCCGTGCTTGATTTTCCGTTTGTTTCACTCCACGTTTTACTCAGAAAAATCATATTCTCAGGCACTAACGACAGCCGTCGTAGTCTGTAGCATTTATCTTCCATTTTTCGTCCATTTCGGGTCCCCTGAGAAACCCCTACATCCGTGTCCACGAACTTTTCGCGACAGGTCCTGCCCCTGCAGCAGCGTCGGGCCCAGAGTTCGCAGTTGAATTACGGCGCCATCTTGCCAGCGCTCTGTCCGTGCTGCTACCTAGCGGCGAACGCACGGCTCCGGCGCCAAATGTGGTTGGTGGTTTCTGGGGTTCCTTTTAACGACGTTTTGTGAAAGACATGAGAGCACTATAGTAGACGAGTTTTCGCATGGAATGTCATTTTTAAATTGTTGAAATTGTGCTTTCTAAATTGTGTTTGAAAGAAATTCTTTTTTTGGAATGTTTTATTCAATGTTTTCAAAAGAATTTCAAATATTAAATGTTATTTTAACACAATGTAATTTTTATCTGCTTGTGATTGATTCTCTTGATGTTTACAAACCATTAAATGGCAGATTACAGTAACATTGAGGCCTCCTTCTGAAATGTATAATACAATGTAATGTACAAGTACCTATTTATGTTGAAACCCTAAGAAAACATAAAAATTATATAAATACATTTTTATAATATATAAAGACAATATTTACATTTTTTGTTTTGCACTGCTGTTATAAAGTTAACTGAGTCTCTTTCTGATGCACTCAAAGGCATTTGAATGTTGAGCATTACTATACTTGCACTTATTATTTCATGACCATTGACTACAGTATATTGGGTTGTACTATAATCTGCCTCTGAATTACTGATTGCCAATTCAGTTTTCCATCTGCTTTTAAGTGTTATGTAAGTGTTTTGCCATTTTTTCTGCAACTGTCATCATGAATTAGACCTCAGAATTTAAGGCATTAAAAATAGAAGTTTAATTAACCTAAAATAGGGTACAAAATATTTAAATAAAGAACTGGTCTTTTTTTCAGGCAAAAATGTTCATATTTTAGTTACTTTCATAACTAGCTACATAATATAAAACTAAGATTTTCTCCTTATTGCTTTCTTACACTATCTTTTGTTAAAATAATTTTAAGGCTAGACAAAAAAAACATGTACTCATGAACAAATTAGTACGTATTTAAAACAATAATCAGAAACTGTCAATTGTTTGTGACTAGCTGTGAATAGTTATCCTGTTATTGTTGACTCAGATTCACCAATGGTATCAGCATATTACTGCCCTTCTGTATGTAAGACAAAATTAAAAGTAAATACATTGATCCTCAAAAATTAGTTTTTTATATCGCTCCAAACAAAAGAACATTAAAATAGATATCAACAATCTTCAGGACATATTAGACACTATTAGGTAAATGCTTTCTATATGATGGCTTTTCATGATTCATAAACATTAGCACTGAGTTTATGCATACCTCTAAAACAACTGAATAGGGATTTGCCTTAAAATCTGAGGTCTAATGATGAGCTTTTCTTTCTTCTGGAATGTTTTTACATTGTACAGCTATGCCCACTTCTGAATGCATTGCTTGCCTTCACACTAAAAACAACTTGTCAGTGGTATATCCAGTATATTTTGAAGTAATATGAACCTCCATATGAGCTGGAGTTTGATCAATAATTAAAATAACTACTCATATATTAGAAGCAATGAAATAGTTTTAAGTTCTGAATCATGTTTAGATATAATTGTGTCATGCTCACAGTGACGGAATATGATGGAAAGTAAGGTAGGCAATGAGAGTGTAGGCTTCCGTGTCCAGAGTCAGTATTTAATTGGCTATCCGGGTGACACCGCATCCATGGCAAAGGTGCTGACATTTCGGTCGCCATTCTGTGGTGTCACCTGGAAAGCAATTAAATATAAGGTAGACAATGTTTACCCTTTAAAATACCCATTCACTTCTCACCACAATATATAGTTTCCCAAATAAAAGAGGAAGTTCTGTCAGTTTGATATAGTTATCAATGAGGTAAGTATGCCGAATACAAATGGAATTATATGACCACATAGAGTTTGATCTCAGCAATCCAAGAAATGAATATTCTGGGAGAAGAACCTCCAGGTTAGATTCATTGTGAAGCAATACTTCAACCCACAGTGCTAACTAAATTGTTTAACTATTTAACTTTGTGAAGTGATGAAGATAAAGTAAATGAAGACACGATAGGTTCCAGGATGTGCAACTGTCTAGTAGCCCTGGGAATCTAATGGCACCAAGCCCCTGCATTCAACATCAGTAAAGGGCTAATAGAAAACTGTTACAAAAAACATAACAGAACTTTTAAAAAACACAAACCTCATTGTTGCCTGCAAAATGCTGTCCTTTAAGAGCTTTCTTCAGAGGAACAATGACATGGAGAGCCCAAGGCAACATAAGGCTTAGTTGAAAATTGCAACAAATTTTTCCACACAAATTTTCTGAATAGCCATGTTGGTAAGAAAATAAGGAAAATACTTTCAGAATGAAAATTCACAGACACCAACAAGCTCCATGACAACATTCAAGAATACTTCCACTGCCAATTCTAACTGTTCTACACCCAATATACTCATCATTTAGCTAACTTCTGGAATGCCTATATCAAACTCCAAGAAAAATTTGTGACACTATTACATTCTATATTGCTTCCTTCAATTTATAAATTACTCTTGTATATTTTCTACGGTCACTCTTTTTTAACATAATTCATTGGTCACATATTTATTACCATAACAGCTCAATTTATGCTAGAAAGGTATTTCCTTTGTAAGAGAAATTTCTGTATCTACCACTGACTCTTAGCAAGGTTCGTAGACCAATTCTTGAAATGAAAATTTTTCCAAATAATTATTTTCAATTTTAGTATCTTTTCAAATTATCTTTACTTTTTTCATAAGTATCGTGAGATGTTATGTGAAAAATTGTTTCTCTGTATTTTACCTTAAACCATAATTCCCATATAACATAATGTGGACTTTTTTATTGAATTTTTGAAAACCCTTAAAAGTTATCTTTTTCTCTTACCTTTAATTTTGCTTCTTGTCAAAGGAACTGGAAAATAGTATGGGATTGAATTCTTAATGTTGAGAATGCTTAAGGAATGAAAATCTCCATTCCTGTTTTGTTAACCAAGCCTACTTATACTTGGAAACATAGTAGCTTTTGATGTTTGTCTCTATTCTTTTTTATTGAAGTTACTAAACTTTATTACTCCTAACATAACTTCTCATGAAATATATCCTAAGAACATTAAAAACTCTTTCTCAGTTCTGTAAGCTCCAAAGTTTATTAAATATAAGGTTCTAATACTTTCATTTTCAGTATATTCATTAACTATATGTTGTTTTTTTTTGAAATTGTGAATCGTCTTTGAGGCAATATTTGATATAGTTACTGGAAACAAGCAAGTATCTTAATTTAAATCATGTGAACCATATGTAAAGTATCTTCATGGTGTGTAATACCCTTTTGATAACACATCTTTAAATTTCTCTTGCATATTTTTCAACTTTCAACAATAAATATTTTTTTAATTGATTTTTATAAAATATTGAAAATTAATGCTAACTGTATGTACATTAACTTCATCAACAAGATTAAGGAATAATCTTCAATCATTTAATTTGCATCAAATTCTTTTACATTTTTATTGCTTTCTTTCCCATTTTTTGATTATCTCAAAACCAACTCAATCACACTTTTCTAAAGGAATCTACGTGATAATTGATTAAAGGCTGGATGTTCCTCTGACTGCAGACAATCAAATTCTGTTAAGCCTGCTTGAAAGCAGTAAATTCTAAAGTCTGTTATATGAACTAAGTGAAGAAAACAACCATACTGCTTTGATTTTACATACAATAGCAAAACCTTCATATTTAATTTTTTGCCCTTGAAAGGATGGGAATTGAAACAAAACCTGCACATTAGAAAGTCTTTGAGATTATAGCAAGCTCAAATGTGCTGTGTTACAATCACATACATGCAGATCAGATGACTTTGTGTGTGTGTGTAATATCTAATATAATTGTGTAATATTTCTGTTAGTGAAGAACAATGCCCTTTCCAATGGTATGATTGATAATTATTTTGACAATTTTGATAATTATCTGACAATGCTTATTGTACAAATGCATGGGCGGATGATTACATATACATACTATTGTAAACACATATGATTGCATACTATGATATCCTCACAGATCAGAAGACATCTCTCAGATTGCTTTAATGAATCTCTCAAAGGGTATGAAGGAATCTGACAGATAACCATAAAATTAATAATGGGTTTTTCTTCTTTTCTTTGAACTGTCTCTGTATCATATTTGTTGAATAGTTCTGATATTTAATAACAATGCACTTTACAAATAGCTTGCTCGGTTTATCTTTTGATGTTTATCTTACATTTCACCCAGCATTTTACTCCATGGTCGCTGAGTCCAGGTATTGTGTTTGTAGTTTTCAAACACTGCCTTCAGAGAGAAACCTTCTATGTCATAGTGCAAGCACTTTTAAAACCTCAGAAGGCATTTTGATGTATCATTCTTATCATGTCTTCCAAGTGCAAGGAGTTAATGATGAATTTGACACTTAGAAAATGTGAAAATGATAGTTAGGGTTGTCATTTGAAAAACAAAGTTTGAGAAGTGTCTTACAAATGGAAGTTCAAATCAAACATTTTATTTATTTTTATTTATTTAGATATTTTAATTACAACTCTACTAATTATTTCCTCCAACAGTATAAAACTAATTACAGGATTACAGGTTTTCATAATTATAAATCATACAGCGATATGCAGAGTGATGAGAAAAAGAAAAAAAGAAGGGGGGGGGGGAATGAACATAAACTTATCATTAATGACAATAAGCAACAATATCCTGAGATAGGTTTGAGATTGAATCGATGAATAGATCAATTACAATGTTTGAACACAAGAGGAGTTAATAAGTTGTAGTGTCTTTGACAAATTTGACTTGTAATGAAATGTACGATTTCACAATATATATGTACACAAATATAAAATTGAGATACTGCCAGAAAAAAAGAAGCATGAAACATTTTAGAATTTTTATGATAAATTTTATAAAATAATATTTCTAAATTTTATTATAATTATTTACAAAATTGCAATTATAGAAATAGTATTTGTTTTCACATTTTTGATTGAATGTGTGTAAAAATAAAAATAAATATATTTTCTTTTAATATTTGTGCATGCTTAGTAGATAATTATGCTGTGTAATTATGAAAGTATTTTTTCTTAAATGGATATTTAAAACATTATTATATTTGTCTTTCAATACTACTTAAGATTTTTTTGTTTAATATTCTCATAAGTAGACATTTATTTAAATCTTTTTTAATTAGATCATACTTAAGACTAAACTTCAAACGTAGAACTATGTTTACTAATCATATTAATGTTGACTTTATATATACTAGTTCATTTTGTGACTATCAATTTCCATTTTCATGCACATACTGTTTTGTACATAAAATTATGTTTCAAATAACTTTTTTTCTTTGCTTTTTTATTTTCACAGTCGCCGACACAAAAATTTTAGATCCAGGAGTCCTTCCATGACTGTTATTTCATCTTTTAAAAAATGAATCTAAGCTCCAATGGTATGTATTAGAATAAAACAATTTTGTACCTCTTTTTGCTAAACCTGTGGCATCAATTTTCCCAAAAGTTTCTGTAAAAATCATTAGCCAGCTAGCATCAGATACCTAGTTGCATACTGGTCCTTCACTCTAACATTTCGTATTCCAAATCATCAAGATCATTGAAGGACAAAACCAAAGTGAATGTGTGACATAATCATTCCAATAGTTCACAAACTTACAAGATTTTGTAGAATAAAATATTTCTCTTTTTATTCCATTTATCCCGCATAATGATACATCACTGAACATTTTGTGAACATACGATGTATCAAAAATTATAACAGAAGAATGTCTCCGTAAAAATAAAATAATTTTAGTATTATTGTGTCATGCTGTATACATGACCAAACTCTAAAATCAGCATTGTTGTTAGAAACCAAGTAATATCCAGTAGACACAAATATACTACCACATATCATTTCAAAGGTTGACAGGCTGTATAACCACTTTTGAACTATTATGTTGTCTGCAGCCAAGTAACATGAACATTATTACATGTTGAAAAGTGAAGATAAACGAAATACCATGCAATATTATTTTCAAACCATACTACCTGTGTTTTTGATGTCTACTTTGGTATTTCATAATTTAGTAGAGCAAATAACATCATAATAAGCCTAAAGCAACAAAATATTTTGCTTTTATATATTGAAAGAAAATATAAAAAATACAGAACAACTTCTCTATGTACAATATATTGTCTGATAGCCATTGAATTGTATATATTTCAGTATTCATTCTTGTACATATATATACACTACATATATGAACATATTTTTGGTGGTGCCAGTAATGTTGAAGAGTATGTTACTCAGATCTTGATGCAATGTGTTTGAATGAGTGTAGAACATTGCAATTTCTGAATGTCCTAGTGAAGTTTGACATTAGTAAATAAACAAATTTCTAGTTTGTAAATACTTTGAGTGGTTGTAAACAATAATATTTCATATGATTGTTCCAAGAGCTTTAATGTCGTGATGCAAAGTGATAGAATACCCTTGCTCTATTCTTGTAAATTATATTTTCCTTTTTCTGTAAGAAGAACATTCTATTAATTTTGTTTCTATGAAACAAGTTAGTTAAGCAATTATACATTTTAAATAAAACGGTTTTCTTGTACATACATTGTAAGATATTACTTGAAAGTTTATACCTTTATCAAATTCAAAGTTCTATTTGATTACCAAATAGAACATTGATTTTATATTATTTGGATATGATAGATCTACGGATTTGCATATCCTGTAATCACTCTAAATTCTTAGTGTGCTAAGGTTTTGGAAACAAACCAAAAACATGTAAATAAAAATTGTCTGAAATGAAAGCAGAGTGATACATTTTAATTTTTTGATAGACTTTTTAAATTATATATTGCGCATATTTTAAGGTTTAAGAAATATAAGTTATAGTTATATTTCTAATAAGATATCAGAGAGTACAATGGGAACTATGAGTAATTAATAAACATTGGAGTTTATATCTTTCCAGGACACTAAGAATTATTTCGTTTACAGGATTGTTAAAGAGTAGATGTTAGCCATTTTCAGTGGCCCTTGCTGCTAAGGAATTCAGTGGCATCACTAAGAGATTGCAAGATAATTCAAGTTATTGTGTTAACAGGTAGAATCCAAAGTTAAATTACATCCATGTTGCAAAGATAATATTAAAAGTTTAATTACTAATTGTCACATGTAAGGATATTATTATTTCATTTAACTATTAATTATTTTTATAAAAACTTTATTACAATAATGAATTATTCTCATTATGAATATAAATTTAATTCTTTTCTAAATACCAGATGAAAATAATAATTTAAACTGATCATATTGGTGATCTATGTGAAGAATGGTGTGATGACAAATATTGCGTTTGAAAGCAATGAAAGTAGTGATGCCGCTGCAATGGCTTTTATTAAAGTGTTGTATTTTGAGGATAAACAGATTAAAATATTTATCTTTTAAGACATTTTGGCACATTTCCTACATGATAATTTGTCAACATTCAAAATGTAAATGCAAAATTTCACCCTCATATTGATTCACAGTTTGTTCCACTAGTGTTAGTAATGCTTATTGTAATTGACCCATTCAGGAAAAACTTGTACATTACAACTTTACATTTCATAACTATCAACTTCATGCAGAATTACACTATTAAAAACAATTTACTGGAATACACGTGTGGAATAAACGTTCTTTTATGATCTGTGATAAATAATTTTGTAAAAATTGGTTGGGTTTTTCCAAAAAAAAATGTTAATCAGTTTTGCTGAACACTTGCACATTAAACACTGGAAGTATCACTATCACTTTTTTAATATTTACAGAATACTTTTTTGTATGAATTGCAGGGTAATCATATTTATTGAGTGTCAGCCAAAAACAGACTTGCAAATATTTCGTGATTTCGTGATTTTAGTATATTTTCAATACTCATGAAATCCCTAATATGAAAAATAAATCAAATAACTGTGTAGAATTAAAAATAAATGCTATGAATATGCTAATATCTTAAGAATGTGCCACCATACTTGTCAAAAAAAGTATAGTCTGAGAAGCCAAAAATGGGTCATTTACATTTTTGTGAGACGATTATTTGCTTTGAAAACTGAATCTTATGTAACATTTCTTTTCATGGACCGACAAGTTATAACTTAAATATGTTGTCTGAAATTAAAATCATAATTTTTTCAGTGTCTCTTCACACTTATTCTCTTTGAAATAATTAAAGATGTTGTCATTGCCAACAATATTATTTAATGCAATAGCAGCTTTCGATGGCTTAGGCAATTTAATTGCATTAAAAAAATATTGTTGGCAATGACAACATCTTTAATTATTTTAAAAATGCCAAAGATATCACACCACAACACCTTTATTCTCTTTGACTGTGAATGAATAATATGAACCTGTTTTTTTTAAACAATTTTATCAATAATTGATGATTTGGTCTACAAAATTTTTGTTGTAAAAGGAAAGAGTAATAAGAATTGTTAAGTACTGGCAGTAGGGTCCAGTGATAAGCATTTTTATGAAGTTCTTTTGTCATCTGTCTGTGATCCTTCAAATAACCATTCAATCAAATGTTAACCCAGTTACTTGCAGGATAGAGCCAAAATGTGCAATTTCTTTTAACATAGTAATATATTATAATGAAACTTAAGCTACATAAAAATTTGCTCAATAAGGGCCAATTCTTATGGAAATTCTATCCTGCAAAAAGACCAAATGTCCCCTAGCATCTAATGTATGTAATTTTAATGTAAGCCATTCCAGTGTTGTCCATGCTACTGTATGTTTTGTACATCTACCATACCAAAGAAAGTTCCATGACAGAGGACACATAGTTTGTTCTCAAAATTAAATACCTGTTGAGAGGAACCTTGGATATATTGGTATTTTTAAGAAGTGTAAAAAATTACACCACTTGGTAAATTAAGGCTTTCAGAGAAAAATTAATCTTTCTATAAAAGGGTTAAAATATTCATTTAAAATTAAATAATTTAAAATGAAAAAGGACACAATGACATGAAAAAGTATCAACATTTAAAAATGAAGCTTTAAAGTATCTATTATAATTGCTCTTTAAATATGTCAGTGAAGAACCTTCCCCCTAAAGAGATGTTTTCTAACTGGGACATAGAAATAACATACCTCCCTCTCATTTTAGGTTTAAAATCAATTAAAAATGTAGTAAAAAGTCATTTTGTTTGTTTAGTCTTCCAGTCAAAATAAAATAGAAAGACAAAGAATAATTTAAAATGGAATTCTTTTAATTCATATTTGATTATAAACCCCATCAAAAATTGTTTTCTCCTTATTTTCTTTTTAATATAATTTTTGTCTGGAAACTTTGTGCCAGAATTCAATATAAAAGAATTTAAGAAAAGAATTGAAATATATGTCAAGGTTTCTCAATGTAGTTAGTACTCACATTTGCCACCTATGCATGCTTTCTCCTTTTTGTGTGAAACGTGAAGAACATAGTGTGACAATGTCACACTAACAATGCAATTTTAATGCAAGAATAAGTAGTTTGTAAAGTGTAGAGAAGTTTTAACTACATGAACTTAAAATCATGGATGGATGGTGGGAAAGTGTGAAGTCAATAAAAGTCTTTACGTCCTTCCTACCTGCTGAGCCCCTATTCCATGGTTTTGAGTTGAACAAATGTAAATCTATTCTCAATGTTGCAAATCTGTAAAAATGTTTGGAATGTTGAGAAAAAAATGCTTTTATTTTGCTTCACTAGCTGAGGGTTATAAAGCTTGGAATATTGTTTAACTGTAAGAAATTTTTCTAATGATTTGTTTGTCTACTGAAAGAAATTTGTTATATCCCTTGTGAATATCTGTCTCTGTACATTGCTCTAAACCTGGAGATGGAAATCTTCAAGAGAATTTCACTTGTAGAGAATATCAGTCCAATAAAATCTAATGCAATAATGATAATTCTTTTTCTGTTTCTTACAGGAATGATTTGTCAACATGTCTGTAGAAAAATAACCACATGTGGAATGATCAGGTTACTTAGAATACTTCTATAAAAAGTGTGATGTTGTTGATGAAGGCAATGATGGCTATTAGAGCTGGAAGTGCTGGAAAGCTGGAAGCAAACTTTCAACCCTGAAATATGCATGTAAATATGCCACAAACATGTTGAAATATACACACAAATAGTTAAGGTAGGCAGCATACGTTAACAAAAAATTACATATTTTTGCCATCTAGAGACAGGGAATATGCAAATTAAGAATAGATTGATATGTACTCTGCGTATTTTATTTTGCATTAAGAGCACAAAAAGACACAAGAAATTTATTGATTTTCTGTAGAAAATTATATTTTGACATCACATAATGATATGGGAAACACTGTTTGTGCTCAATACATTGTCTGGAAAACAAACATAATATCTTTCCAGGAATTTACCCATTGTCTGTTAAGTTGAAGACTTAGATTCTCTCCCAAAACTTAATTTCTTTTCTTTCCATTGTCTACCTTCATTTCCCTTGCAGCTACCACAAATGTATCCCTATCCTCCTGAAGGTGCTAAGTTTGTTCTTTTATTCTTTATCTTTGGCATAAACCGATTACTTCTGAAGCGTTGACCATTAGTAGTCTGAAACAAATTGTATTAACATAGGTGAAACTACAAAGAAAGGAATTCATATATTTGTATAATTTTATGCTAAAAACTCTCATTTATATGCCAAATATCTCTGAATATGCAAAATATGCTGAATATGCAAAACATTTCTTACCTTATTTTCAATATTTTGCTATGAAACGTACACATTTGAAGCTTCCAAAGAATATGACCATTAATAAAAACTGCAATTGCATGAACTGTCTAGCTCTAATGATTATGATGAATTTTTTAAATTGGTATGAAGGTGTTTTTTTAGGCAGATATTCATTCGCATAATAAACTTTCATTTAAAATCATACAATCTTTAGACCTACATTTTGAAGGTCACTGGCCTTCATTTTCAGGGTCTAATATATACAAGTGAATACAATATTAATAAAATAATTTGACAACCTATAAATGACAAAACATAGGTCTAAAGATTGAATGGTTTTAAATAAAAATGTATTATGTGAATGAATGTCTGCCTAAAAAAAAAAACCTTCAAACCAATTCTAAAAAGCATCAAGAAAAGCAGTCTTTTTCTCATTGAATAATTTTAAAATTTTCTTTCAAAACAACAATTATGATGATTTGATGATTGCCATCCTAATTTCTAATCAGAGAGGCAGAATAAGGTTTATTCCTTTAGGCTTTGTAGATTGAGAAGCAGTGGCATAAATTTGAAATTAACAATAGATGGCTAATTTGTCGTTCTTTTAATGCAAATTATGGCCAAAAGAAGAGTCAGATGCCTACCTCAGGGAATAACCCTTATAAAAAACGAAGTGAACATGTGAAAAGAAAAGTATTACTACACACATTTACCACCCACACCTATGAGAAAATTTAAATATGTATTCTTTTAGATGCTTATGAATATTTCAAAAAGGGGTCATTCAAATTCATTAACCATTTCTTAAAGCTTACAAATTTTCCTACAAAATGCTTTTTAAAACATTTTAATAGTATCATTACACTTTGAGTAATTGCAGATCAAAATTATTACTGGAAGTGTACCAGGAGTATACAACAATGCAGATGCTCATAACAATGTGTGTTTACAATAACACACAATGTTGTGTGTTACAAATTAAGAATCTGACTGGACTTGCAAAGCAGGGCACCTTGTATCATCAGTAAGCAATTCTGAATATCTGTAAGAAAATAATGTCTATTTTTTAAATAATAATTATTTCTGAAACTTCATTAAATATTTTTTGCAAAATATATTTCAAAAAATTGGAGGATTTATTAAAAAAGTTTGCAAATCATGTAAAGTATAATCAAAATATGTGAATAGTACACTACAAAATAAGTAAAATCATGCAAGGAAACTTTTAATATTGTGTTAGGTTCACCCTGCTTCAGTAAGACCACAATTTTGAGAACTGACATGGAGAAACAAAGCAAATGTAATTACATAAGTATCTGGAGGCCCGAACTTTGCATTAGCCAGCAAAGGAGGCTGTCTTCAGCAGCCAGTGAAATTCCGTAGGGTTTAGTAATGCCGACGCGATCGGAGAGATTCTTGCTGGGTCCTGCGGAGGAATGTCTCGAGGCCACTGTGGGTCGCAGTAATGGATAACAGAAAATAACACATGGGTTAAGGGAGATTTGAGAACTCGAACTTACTTCGTGCGAAACTTCACTTAAAAGCAATGAGAAAAAGAGATAGTACAAGCAATGTAATGAATCTTCACGCGCCCTTTTCTATCAATGTCCCATAACTGCTCAATAACCGACTTCATGTCACTTAGTCGTCGTTCAGGCTATCCCATGCATAGCTGAGTCCGAGGGACCCAGAGCCGGCAGTAGCTCGAAGTCATCGTCAGAGTTGAATTAAAGGAGGGGACTCGGAAATATAAGTTTGCAAGATGATCAAAAAATGAGAATTGTAACAAATAAAAACAATCAGGTGGCTCAGAGCGAAGTCGCTCGCCTTTACCAAGGAAGTCCCGGTTTGATTCCCGGACAATCCCATGTGAAATTTGTTCCAAAAAAAAAAAAGTTTGGCTGATTCACAAGGGCTATTTCAACCCATATGAAGTGCCCTAAACCCTACCTCTATCCTAATTCCTTCCCAATTCTGGCCTCTGAGTAGTGACGCAGGGGCGCGTATTAGGAGGCGTGTACACGGAGATGCTACCTGGCGGTCCTCTTCACAACTGACTACGCGAGACGACATATAATGACTTATCCAGGAAATGGAGGATTACTCCAATGGGTGAGGACGCGCAAAAAGTATCGGAGGATTACTCCTAAGCGCAAAGCGCTCAAGGCCCCAGGGGGGGGGGGGTCAATCCAGACGCGACAATTTTTTTAAAAAACCTTTCGAACCAACGAACTTACCCTCTAAGGAGCTGAGTTCGTACACACAAATTTGCCACCTCTGCCACCCGGCACCCGCATATAATAATACGTGTAAGATACTTCCAGTTCTAGCATTAAGAAGCCGAAAAATTGAGAAAATGTGAAAAAAATAACCTTTGGGAGACCAAAGAAGATATCTGGGAAGGCAGAATCGGAAACCTAGTTCAGACTAAAGAGATTAGAAAACTAACTACTGCGAGAAAGTCTGTGCCATTTTATAGAATCACTGTTGTTTTTTTATTTATTGATCATACGCTGTTAAATACGAGGAGAAAC